AAAGAAGATTTCTGAACTCATTCTAGCAGTTCAACAAAACGAACACGTCATTACCTATCTTTATTAAATTAGTCTCTTCCAATCTTAATCATTTAAATACATAAAAACCTTTAATAACTCTCCCACTTAATTGAGACATGTGAAGAACACATGATTTATATTTAAAAATTAATAAACCAACAAAAATGGTAACAGTATTGAAACATGAGATTGATACATGGGAGAGCACACCTATTTATACAAAATTCGTCAATATATTTTAATTCTATCTATATTATAAAATCATAAAAAGATATATATAAAAGGTAGAAAAGGTAAATAGAAAAAGGTAGAAAAGGTAAATAAATAAGGTAGAAAAGATAAATAAATAAGGTAGAAAAGATAGAAAAGGTAAATATTGAAGATAAAAAAGGTAGATAAATAAGGTAGAAAAGATAGAAAAGGTAAATAAATAAGGTAGAAAAGATAGAAAAGATAGGTAAATAAGATAGAAAAGGTAGAAAAGATAGAAAGTAAAGGTAGAAAAGGTAGAAAAGATAGAAAATAAAGGTAGAAAGGATAGAAAAGGTAGATAAATAATTATTATACGATTATTAAATAATTAATATGAATATACTATTTTTATCAATTTGTTGTTTTACCACAAGGGTATCGAACAGATTTCCTAGGCCAATCAAGCGTTGGATCTCAGTTAACCCTAGATGCTGATACCCAAGCAGGTGCGCCTGTTCATCCTGCAATCGGCCCAGTAGGTTAACGATGGATTCAGTCGATCGGAGTTGTAACTGCAGTGGCACAGTGTTGATTATTACTATTTTTGAAGATTTTTATATTTTCTATTATTTTTAAAAGATTCGTTAATTACAGAATTATTGAAAATAATTGTAACAATATTATTGATATCTTTCCACCTGAAGAATAAATTTTTAGTTAATTTTTATCCGAAAAATAAAATTTAATATTTTTAAACAATATTTAATATCATTTTTTGTTTTATTATTCTATATCTACTTCATCTATTGCTGCTTTTTCTAGTAAAAATAATGAAACTGAATCCTCAATTATTAGTATTGAATTACAAAATATTAAAAAATATGGTGGAAGAAAATTTTCATTAGTATGGGAACATATTATACGTGATAAAAAAATATCATGTGGTCATTATGAAGGCACTTGTAAATATTGTTTGCAATATTGGAAAATTGTTAGACCTTTCATTCTTCAAATACATTTAGTATCATATTGTCCAAAATGTCCAACTACAATTATTTTACAATTTTGTCAACTCGTTGCAGAAAATCAACATGAAAAAAATATTAAACGTCAAAAAACAAATTCTATATCTATTCAATCTTCATCTTCTGAATCTAAAAAGCAGATATTATTAGAACAACACTTTGAAAATTCATCTATTTCAATTTCACGTCAAAAAATTATTGATAACATTTTAATTAAAACCTTTATTACATGTAATTTTGCTTTTTCTACTATTGAACATCCCTTTTTTATCGAATTATTAAAAGCTTTATGTGCTGGATATCAACCACCATCACGAAAAAAATTGGCAACAGAACTTTTGGGTCAGGAAATTGCACGAATTACACTTAAACTTCAACATATATTTCAACAAACAAATAATTTGACATTGGGTAAATATTATTTAATATTATTATTTATTTTATTTGTAATTTTATTTATTAATTTTTATTTTTATAATAGCAATCGATGGTTGGACATCACCAACAAATCGATCTTTATGGAATTTTGTTATTTTAACACCTACTCGTGAAGAATATCTTTTCTGTCTTCGTGATTTGACAGAAGAACATCATACTAGCAATCTACTTACTGAAGAAATATTACGAGTTCTTCAAAAAATCGGAATTGAAAAGTTTACTGCTATTGTAACTGATAATGGTGCAAATATTGCACTAGCTCGCAATACAATTTCATCACAATTTCCCAAAATTTTTAATATTCGTTGCATTGCACATTGTTTTAATTTAATATCCCATGACCTTTTAAAACACTCATTTGCTGATAAAATTATCAGATATTGTAATACTTTAGTTACTTATTTTAAAAAATCTCATATATGTGGGGATTTATTAGAAAAATTAATAATCGAAAAACAAATTTTGGGTGATGGCTTAAAAACTTATGTTAAAACCAGATGGACTACAATAGCTGATTGTACATTATCAGTTTTGCGTTTAAAAAGTTGTTTTGAAGAAGTAAGTATAATAATTATTTAATAATTAATTTATTAAATTTATTATATACTAATTAATCTATAATAGATTTATTATAATCATTATAATGAAATTACCAATGAAGCAGTTAAAATAATTATCAATAAGCGCAGATTTTTTAATGATGTTGAAACAATCACCAATGTTTTAATTCCAATCAAAAAAGCAATTCTAAAATTGGAAGGCAACACAACCAATTTGGCAGATTGCTATATTGAATTATTACGAATTGGAGCATCATTTAATCAATTATCAAGTTCAGATTATCACTCTTTTAAAACCTATTGCATTAAAAACTATAACAAACGGTAAGTTATTTATTTGATAATGTTTAGATGTGATATTTTAATATTTAATAATTGGATATTTATAAATTTTATATTATTCGATTCCTCTCGATGAGACGAATCGAATGATATCAAATTTACTCGAATCCAATCATTGGGTGTCGAGATATCGCGTTCCAAAGTTACCGGATGTTGAATTTAAAAAAAGTGATCCAGTAAATTCGGGACGCGATAACTCTATATCCAATGATCAGAATCACGTGATTTTAACACCATTCGATTCGTCTCATCGAGAGGAATCGAATGATATCAATTACGTTTAAATCCAATCATTGGATGCCTAGATATTACATTTAAAATTCACTTTTTATAAATTTATTAATAATTTATTATTATATAATTAGATTTAAAGAATTTAACAATGAAATTTATTTACTGGCATTCTTTTTGCATCCAAAATTCCAAGGTATATGTTCCTATTATGATAGTTTATCAAATAATTATTGTTTTTTAGTTTAAAATATTATTAATTTTTAGTTTAAAATATAATTTTTATTACAATAAAAAATAATTTTTTGAATATAAAGCATTTAATATAATATCTCGGCATCCAATGATTGGATTTAAACGTAATTGATATCATTCGATTCCTCTCGATGAGACGAATCGAATGGTGTTAAAATCACGTGATTCTGATCATTGGATATAGAGTTATCGCGTCCCGAATTTACTGGATCACTTTTTTTAAATTCAACATCCGGTAACTTTGGAACGCGATATCTCGACACCCAATGATTGGATTCGAGTAAATTTGATATCATTCGATTCGTCTCATCGAGAGGAATTGAATGATATTAAATTCACTCAAATTCAAGCGTTGGGTGTCGAGATATCGTATCAAACGTATCATGCTTTAAAATTATATTTTATTTAATAATATTATTAATTATAATTAATATACTTAAATATTTATTTTAATTTAGGTGCTGGAATTCCTGATCATTGATTTTCTGAAATTGCAATATCAGCTGGAAATATATGGAAACAAATGGGAAATACAAAAAATTCATGCAGTGAATTAATAGCACAATTGCGAAATTATAAATTACATGAATCTCCATACAATACACCATACCTTGAAGGCACTGATACACCATTAAAATGGTGGAATACATGCTTTGCAACACAATCACAACTTCAAGATTTTGCAATCAAACTATTTTCAATTACACCACATGCTGCAAGTTGTGAAAGAGTTTGGTCATCTGTGGGTTGGATATATGGTAAATGACGAACACGACTTTCAATTCAAACTATTGAATCATTAGCTAAAATTCATCGATATTATTTAACAAATGCTAAAAAAGAACTGCATTATTCTCAACCATCAATTAGCAATGATAAAATCATTGAATTGGTAAAAGAATCATTAAGTGAAGGTTATGAAGAATCATTTGAAGAAGATGAAGGTATAGTTTTATCAAATTTACATGAGCCAGAAGTAAGTGAAAATATTATTGAAAATGAAAAATTAGAAATTTTGGATTTATTTAATTTAGAACCAATTGTTATTATTGAACATGTTAATATTTCACAATATAATATTAATGAATTAGAAGTA